GGTTTACGGCCGTAAACCCAAATGGTTTATGGTCTTTTTGATGTTTTCAGTCCTAAGCACATCAAGGATGGTATCTAGACTAGTATCCAAGTCTTGGTAGGGGACTAGGGCACACTTTGGCCCCTTCATTGGGGTTTACGGTCCAAGAACATCTTGGACCGTAAACACCTTTGATCTTGTGTTTCCTTATGTTTTCTAGATGATTAAGAAGTGTATCAAGTCTTATAACACACTAGGGTAAGAGTACTTACTATGTAGAAGCTTGAAAAGGTGCTAGAAGTCCAAGAACACTAGTGTGTGTTCTTGGTGAAACTTGAAGATCTACACATTTGGAATGATTTCACGGATGGAATTCTGTAAGATCACTAGATTAAGTAAGATATCAACTTATTAGGGTAAGAAACACTTACAAAGTTGAAGATCAAGAAGGAAAATCGGATGATACTTGAGAGGATTTGAGTTTTGGATCTTGAAAATGTGAAAAAGTGAATAAAATGGCTAAGTGCCATATTTATACCCTTGGGGTTTACGGCCGTAAACACCTTGTTTAGGCCGTAAACTCCAAACTCTTGGAGTTTTGAGACTTTATTGTTGCATAATAAACCCTAGGGTATCCTCTCTCCTGTTATCTCCTGAAGTACTAGGCTTTAGAACACTCAAACTGACTCTACACAGCTCAAAAGTTAGCAGAAACTGTTCTGAATTCTATTGAAGTGAATGGTTGTACAGAATAGAAATCTCGGGTTGTCACATCTACGGGGTTCGTTGTACCATTTACACGGACCACAAGAGCCTGAGGTATCTCATGGATCAGCCAAATCTGAATATGGGGCAATGTCGGTGGCTTGATGTGGTGAAGGATTATGATTGCGAGATCCTCTACCACCCGGGGAAGGCCAATGTCGTGGCTGACGCGCTTAGCCGCAAGGCAGCGCCGATCAGGGATATTTGTATGAGGATGACGATTGTGACTCCGCTGTTGGAGCAGATTCGGGAGGCCCAACAGGAGGCCATGAAGGAGGAACACCGTAAGAGCGAGCGTATTGTGGGACATATTTCCTCTTTTGACTATGATAGCCGTGGGTTATTGACGCTACACCGCAGGGTGTGGGTTCCATACCACGGGGGTGTGCGTCAGGTACTGATGGAGGAGGCCCACACGTCCCGATTCTCGATTCATCCCGGGGCAACGAAGATGTACAGAGATCTTCGTCCTGATTATTGGTGGCCCTGCATGAAGCAGGATGTAGCCTGGTATGTTGAGAGATGTCTGACATGTAGGAAGGTCAAGGCCGAGCACCAGAGGCCTCACGACAAGATGCAGCCGTTGGATATCCCTATGTGGAAATGGGAAGATATTACTATGGATTTCATCACAAAGCTTCCCAGGACCGCGCGAGGGGTAGATTCGATTTGGGTCATCGTTGATCGATTGACCAAGAGCGCCTATTTCATTCCGATTCAAGAGAGCATTTTGGCCGAGAAGTTGGCCGATATCTACATCCGAGAGGTGGTGGCTCGGCACGGGGTGCCAGTTTCGGTGATTTCGGATCGGGACGTGCGGTTTACTTCCAGATTCTGGAAGAAGTTTCACGATGAATTATGTACTCGTCTGCACTTTAGCACCGCCTTTCACCCGCAGACGGATGGTCAGAGTGAGTGGACCATCCAGAATCTGGAGGATATGTTGCGGGCGTGTGTTTTAGACTTCGGAGGTAGTTGGATACTTACCTTCCTTTGGCTGAGTTTTCCTATAATAACAGCTATCATGCAAGTATCGATCGTCCTCCCTTTGAGATGTTGTATGGGAGGAAGTGCAGGACCCCGATATGTTGGGGTGAAGTCGGACAGAGGGTCATGGGGAGCACCGAAGTGGTGCTCAAGACGACAGAGAGGATTCAGCAGGTTAGGAGTAGGCTTCAGACTGCTCAGAGTCGGAAGAAAAGTTATGCCGACAAGCGCCGTTCGGACTTGGAGTTCCAGGTCTGGGACATGGTCCTCCTGAAGGTGTCGCCTTGGAAAGGCATCATCCGATTCAGGAAGTGGGGCAAGTTGGGGCCCAGGTATATTGGACCTTTCAGGGTTGTCGCCCGGGTGGGCAAGGTGGCGTATAGGCTGGACCTGCCAGCCGAACTCAGTCAGATTCATAGCACGTTTCATGTCTCCCAGTTACGGAAGTGCCTGGTGGACGGTTTGGCAGTGGTGCCTTTGGAGGATATTCAGGTGAATGCAATTTACTCTGGGACTCGGCGAGTTGGAGGCCCAACTCGTCGAGTAGACTCGAATGTTGATCGGGGGTTTAAGTGACGTACTCGACGAGTCGGAAGACCGACTCGACGAGTAGGAGCTGTCTGGACAAAACCCTAATATTTAGGGTTTGCACCCTATTTAAACAACTTAACTCGCCCCAAACCAGCCTCCATCGTCCCTCTCACTTCCAGAATACCCTAACTCGAAACCCTAGCTTTTTTTGAGTGCTCTCAAGCCATTTTGTGTATCTTTTTGTGTGTTTGAGGTTGGAGAAGGAGAAGGAAGTTTGGAAGTTCAAGTAGAAGCAAGGAGATCCAGAAGTTTTACTCCATTCTCAGCTCATTTGAGGTAAAAGGATGGAACATTGACCATCTATCTCTTAGATTTTGTTTTGGGGTTGTTTTTACCCTTTTAATGAGTATAGAGAAGCAAAAATCGAATTTTGTGGATGTGCTTAGAGTTGCACTTCGGATCTAGGGCTATTGGGGGTCTTTATGGCATAAAGGTGCCAAATTTGTTGCCATAAACACCCCATGCATCTTGTAGACCTCCTTTTATGACTTTTTGAGCCAAAGGCCCCATGCATGTGCATCAAGTTTGAAGCTTTACGTATAAATTTGACCCTAGGAGGCCAGATCTATGGTTTTGACGCGTTAATACCCATTATAATCGACTGTATAATGTTAGACAAAGAGGGACTCGGCGAGTCACTTGGGTGACTCGGCGAGTCACTTGGGTGACTCGGCGAGTCGGGACGCTTTTTCCCCAAAAACGACTTCTAGAAATGGTTTTGGTTGAGTGGAAGGAACACTCAGCCTGCTAGGGGTTTGTTTTGGAACTGGAAATCATAGGACTCGGCGAGTGTATGAATAGACTCGACGAGTCCAAGGCAATCTCCCAATATTTGAAGATGGACTCGACGATTTATTCATACAACTCAGCGAGTCATAGACTGGACACATTCTTATGAGGGAGATGAACTCGACGAGTTCGAGGTCGAACTCGGAGAGTCGGATGAAGATGGCCCCAATGGTATGATTGAAGAAGAACCCGTCAAGTTCTTGCTAGACTCGACGAGTAGAGACGGCGATTGGTTCGAGATAGAGGAGTATGGACTCGACGAGTGGGTAGACCAACTCGACGAGTCAGGTCAACTGGATGTTGACTTAGACCAATATTGACTTTGATTGAATTGAGTTGACCCTGGTTTGGGTTGCATGTTCGAATTGATAACTTAGAAGGGTTGCCGTGTAGGGATTGAGGAGTCGATGGGAGTCGACTTTCACGCCGAGGACATTTCAGACACTACACGACATCGAGGTGAGTTACCTTCCAGTAGAAGTGGGTCTAAAGCACCAAGGTCGGCCCACTGGTAATTGTTTAGTTGTGATGATTGTCTTTGTGATAATCATCTGGGTTGCTTGTGCTTGATATATGTGTATGCTAGTATGCTATGTTATGTGAGATAATATAAGTAGGAGGGGACTAGTCCCCGATTCGGTCGCTAGGACCAATGGGTAGGTCGGACACCCCAGATATGTCTGACATCACGATTATGATATGATATTATATGCTAGCGGTAGGGGGTGAAATAGTCCCCGTATTCGGTTGAGATAGACCGGAGGGTAGGTCGGCACCCCAGAATAGCCTGACACGGGTAGGTCAGCACCCCAGAATGGCTTGACATGGGTAGGTCAGCACCCCATAATGGTTTGACATGGGTAGGTCGGGCACCCCAGAATTGCTCGACAATATGTATGTGGTTTTGGTATGTGGTATGATGGGGGAACTCATTAAGCTTTGTGCTTACAGTTTCAGTTTTGGTTTCAGGTACCTATTCGTCCAAGGGGAAGGAGTCGGCGGTGTAGTAGCGCATCACACACACACATGATTTCCGCATGGAGTTTCTGGGATTGTACTCTGATTTTCATAACTATTGATATTGTGATTTTGAAACATGATGTTATGGTTTTTATAAGTTGATGTAACTTAACAATGTTTTGGTATACTATTTCATGAGGTACTTAATTTAAAAATGAAAATTTTGACCTTGATAATTGGGATGTTACAGTACGAGCCTCAGCCACCCAATGTGCAAATCTCATGTACGCTAAGCGTACATTTGGTACGCCCAACGTTCGGAGGAAGGGTCATTTTTGCCAAAATGAAATTACTTGAAGGTGGACAAAGGAATACTTGGGTTGGAGTGTCGGCAGCCTTGATACAGGCTTTGCGTCAATGACATCAATCATCAACAACCACCTCCAAGTGATGATTTTTGGTCGATAAAATAACAAAAAGTATCCGATTTCGATTCAGATTATGATCAATGAAACGTATTTAATTTCGAAAACCAGTAGGGGTGGGTTAGGTGGGCCACTTTTTTTTAATTTTAAACTAAAAAGATATTAAAGTAAATATAAAAATATAAACAAAGGATATTTTTGCCATTTAACAAACATTTAACATAATCTATTAACAAAAGTTAGTTATAAGAACTACTGGTGTGGAAAATCTTTGTCGAAAGGGACTATTAATGCAAAAAAAAAATTATAAAGATTATATTAAAGACAAATATAAAACTATAAGGACCATTTGTGAGGTTGATTTATTGATTCATATGGTGTACTTTAACTTGCCACACATAATATTTGCGGAATAAAATCATAATTCAACATAAATCAAAAGATAAACATAGGATACAAACTAAGGAGGTTGTTTAAACTTTAAATATACCACTTTAAGACGTGTTAGTTACTCTTTAAAGCGGTTATGAACTCCTCATCACATTCAAGATCCATCATATATTCCGGCAAAAGACAAACTTCTACATCCATGCTTCCGCCTCCTTCCTGACCTGGATACATTGTCATCTTCCCGTCGGCTTTGTTCATGTACCCACTTCTAGCCGCAACCGCTTTCCCTAACCCAAATTCACACCCATACATGTCAAACCTCGGAGAGCTCCCAAAGTGCACAACATTCGGATGGAACAGTTGACTCCGTTTATATACTACAGGGCTTCTAAACCAAGACTCAACCCATTTCTTCACTGCTGTATCATCGTGGTTTGCCACAGCTTCATGTAACTGCAAAGCAGCCCACCCGAGCCCTCGAGTCATTAGATCCTCAACAGTTGCTGTTCCACTCACTGACTGAATCGGGTTACCAAAATAATCATCGGATAAAGGTGGGTTCAGTCTACGCCGGTTACTAATAACAAGTTTACAGACTGTTTCACTCTCACGTGGTAGGCGTCGAACTCGCGTTATGCATCTCCATAAAAGTGCTGACACTGCTTGTAAACTTGAGATTTTTTGAGTGTTGGATTCAGCGTTTGCTTTTGCTTTGAGTCTCGAGACTATAGCTGAGGAGAAATGGAAGAATCTCTCTTGAAACATAGCTTGTTGATCTGGTCGATCAATGAATTGGTTGTTGTGTGTAAATGGAAGATTGATAACAGGATCTGACCCTTTAAGGACCCATTTTTTGAATATCGGAGGACGGGAGATGGAATACTCATCTTGCTGTTTAGATCTAAATATCTCACTCCAAGCAGCCATGAAATGCCAGAAAGAAGTTCCGTCGGCGATAAGGTGGTTGACGGAGCCACCGATGAAGATGCCATCGATAAGCTCAGTCACCTGAATGGATAACAATGGCAATGTATGACCATCATGGTTGATAGCATTGTCAAGGTCAAAGAATGAATGAACAACGAAGGGTACGTCAGTAGAGGTAAGAATGTCGGAGACAGTTACGTCCACCGTCGCGTGAGCAAACTTCACACCGGGGCTGTTTTCGGGGTCTATGTAGATAACATAGGAAGGTGGGTTTTCTTCTTTTCGAGTGGCTAAACGGGCGGCGAGCGGGTAAAAGTGGGTAAGGGTGGCGGAGAGAGAACGCCGGAGGTCTTCCAAGAAAGTGGTTATGGAGAAATGATGATTTTCCGGTGGGGATGGTTTCGCAAAAAGAAGGCCTTTTTGGCTGTAGTTGGCGTTGAGGTAGACGAGCTCAAAGGGTGTGAAGTAGATTGGTTGCTTTGCATCTGGTGGGAGATCATGTAGTGGTTTAATGAAACATTCAGAAATCCGCTTTACAGTGGCGGAAGCCATTGAAGCTATTGGGTATCTGGGTGTTTGCAGATAGCTTCCTCACCATGTACACAGCCTATGAGCGAGCTCTTATTGTTGATCTTTGTGCTGATATGCGCAAATCCTTCATTATCCATGTGACGGAAGGGAAAAAAACGAAAAAAAAAAAAACTAATCTTTTGTTTCTCCAAAGTTTTTTTCCTGACAAATGTACATTTTATTAGATTTTGTAATTATTTTAACAAATTTTGAAGATCTTTATGTTTGCTTTTATTATAAAATATTTTATAAGGTTAAGGTACATTGGTGAACGGTGATATTGTAGGTTTGTATATTAGGCCTTTTGGTGATGACTAATGTGATGGATTTTTCCTTGCGTGAACACCGGCCCCCAAGGGGCGTAGGTGTGGTGTGGCGTGTATAAATGGATGTAGCTGATGTGGTTTAGATGTATTTAAATGGTTTAAAAAGAGTCGATTGAAGCTTTGAAGTTTGGTAAACGGGTGAAAAAGAAAACAAAAGGGTAAACGGGTTTAAAATAGACGATTCATATTTGTTTTTAACTGAAGTTATATCAATTGCCCCTAAGGTTGTGTCTCCTAATTTCATTATACCATTATATTTATCTTTGAATTAAGTTAAACCCTCAATTATATATATAACTAATTTAATTTCAAAAATAAGTAATCTGTATTTAGTTTTTTTATTAGTAAAATGATTATTTAAGATTAAAATTATGTTTTTTAAATTTATTCTAATTTAAAAAAAAAAAGTATAAATGATGTGGAGTGGTAACCATTTCCAAGGATTAGTGATTTGGTAATGAACATATAGAAGAGATGACGTGGCGTATATGTGGCAACACTTTTCTAGTGGGTTTGTTGTGACCATACACCTTAGCGTTATGTAATTTCTAGCTTGGATAACTTTAGTTCAATTGAATTACCAACTTGTTTCACGAACAATAATTTCGTTTGTTACATGTCAGTAATGGTATATACCAACATTTATGAAGTTATGTAAATGAAGATTTTCATATTCTTGGGCATGAAACGTGAATAAGAGTTTTGTGAATAAGAATGTTGTAATTTGTTTGAATTGAAAATTCGATCTGAATTTTATTAATTTTTATCATGAGTTTAAAAATTAAAATAGTTGAGGAAATGGGACATGTGCATTACTAATAGTCTAATATTGTAAAAACTCTTAAAATTTTACACTCTAACATGACTATAAACTTTAAACATTAGTGATACAAAGGGTGGGGATGAAGAAGTGTGGTCTAGATACGGAAGTGGTATAGTGACAAGAAGGTGGTGTTGTGAATCAGGAACAAGATGATGAAGAAGAAGCCAACCCTTATGAGTATTGGGGAAACAACTCAATTTTGATTTGGATTTGCCTAACGTGTCTGGTTTAAAAATGAAATCATATGAAGAAAATCAGTTCACTTTATTTTTCTTGTATTGTGTGTATGTTTTGAGATATCCCTCGACCATGTGTTTTCTGAGATTGTGAATCGGGGGAAAGAGGGCCGGTGGGGTAGATTAATTTAAATGTGATGGAGAAAAATAGTTTACCGGAGAGGTTGTGTGCGTAAGTGTGTATGTATGTGTGTGAGTGTCTATGTGTGAGAGAGAGGATTTTACTATTTTTTTTAAAAGAAAGTTGGAAAAAATAAGTAAAATTAAAAAAGACAAATCGGTTTTTTTTTTTTTTCGGATCGTTTCAAAAATTTGAAAGACCAAAACCAAAATAAAAATAAATTAGACTAGCCGTGAGTATCGAAGAAATAGAACTGCACGTTTTTATAAACTATATTAACCAATTTTACAATTACTAAAAAAAAATTATAGTATATAGACCCACTCTAAATGGCGCAATACACCACACTGCGGAAAGAGCTCCACCACTTGGTGGACGTACAAAAGTTGTATAGATTCCTTTTCCAAAAACTAAAAAAAAAATAAGATTAGATCATAAAAAAGTATTCAAAAATCTTCAACTAAAATCATCACATGCACTGATGCGCACGTCCGATAATATGATATCCTTCTCACAATCGCAACAAACGTCAAATTTGTAATATTCAATTTTATTTAAATTAAAATATATATTCAATTAAGCCATAACTTAATTTTGAAAATACCAAATTGAAAACACCAGAAGCGGCAAATTGTCGGCAATTGATCGGAAAACGAGGAACAGCTTGAAAGGACCCACATCAAACAGGGAACTTTCATTCATGATTATTTTACATTCTTGCTTATCATATCATTCGATCCTAAGAGCATCTATGAATTCCTCATCGCATTCAAGATCCATCTTATGTTGTGATGAAGCAAAACAAACTTCCACATCCATGCTCCCGGCACCCTCCCGACCGGGATACATCGTTATCTTCCCGTCGCCCTTGTTCATCCACCCACTTCTAGCCGCCACCGCTTTCCCTAGCCCGAATTCGCACCCATACATGTCAAACCTCGGTGAGCTCCCAACGTGAATGAAGTTTCGATCGCTCATCTCACTTAGTTTTATAATGAATGGCCGTTTAATCCATGACTCAACGCTTTCCTCAACTGCTCTATCGTTGTAATTTATCACCGCTTCGTGTAGCCGGAAAGCCGCCCACCCAAGCCCATTCGCCGTCAATTCCCCGACGGTTGCTTTTCCTTTCAGTACAGAAATTGGGTTGCCAAAATAATCATCAGACAGAGGTGGGTTCAGCCGCCGGCGGTTAGATATCATCAATCTACAATTGGTTTCATCGTCCTCTGGTAGACGCCGGATCCGGGTAACGCTCCTCCACAAAAGCGCGATCACTGCCTGTAAACTTGAGATTTTAGTAGTATTGCATTCGGAGTTTGCTTTAGCTTTGAGTTTGGAGACGGAGGCTGATGAGAAGTGGAAGAATCTCTCCGTAAAGGTTGGAACTTCCAATCGATCGATGAATTGATCGTGGTGTGTATACGGGAGCTTGATGATCGGGTCAGATCCATCGAGGAACCATCGTTTGAGTACCGGAGGTCGAGAGATTGAGCAATGAGATTGTTCTTTGGATTTGAATATTTCACTCCAAGCACCCATGAAATGCCAGAAAGAGGTTCCATCGGCCACCATATGGTTGATAGATCCACCGATAAAGATCCCATCGACAAGCTCTGTAACTTGAATGGATAACAATGGCAGTGTGTGACCATCGTGGCTAATGGCGTTATTGAGATCAAAAAATGAACGAACAACCACAGGTACGTCGGCAGGCTGAAGGATGTCCGATATGGTGGTGTCCACCGTCGCGTAAATAAACTTGACGCCGGGGCTGTTTTCAGGGTCTAAGTAGATAACATAGGAAGCTGGATTTTCTTCCTTTTTAGTGACCAAACGGCCGGCGAGGGGGTAGAAATGATCGAGGGTGGCGGAGAGGGATCGCCGGAGGTCATCCAGGTAAGCGGTAATGGAGAAATCTTGACTTTCCGACGGTGGTGGCTTTGCAAAGAGGAGACCCTTTTGGCTGTAGCTGATGTTGAGGCATGGCAGCTCGAAGGGTGTGAAATGAAAAGGCTGCTTTGCCTCAGGTGAGAGGTCGTGCAGTGATTTGATGAAACATTCTGAGATGCGTTTCACAGATTTAGAACTCATTGATACCAAAACACCAATTATTCTCTTCTTTTAATGGAGCATTGAAGACAAATTAACTTCTTGCACATACAAAGATGCTAGCCATCAAACATGTTAAGTATAACAAAAAAAGGGAGAATCATATGTAAATCCAATTCTATTAGGATTTATTAAATCTCAAGTATCTAGAAGGAAGACCGATCAATTACTTTTGTAATGTTTTATCTCAATCAAGTATTATAATAAGATAATATATAAAATAATAAAAGAACTTGATATTGGCCACCTCATTTTGACCAATAACTCCTTTAGACTAAAAGATTAACATTTGTAATCTAAAAAAAAAATGGGTTTGTCTTTATAGATTTGGATTTATGGGAGAATTTCATATATGTCCTCTTAAACTTCAAAATATTATATTTGCCCAGCTTAATTTCTCAATATCATATTTACCCTTCATAAACCTTCAAAATATCATATTTACCCAAATCCTTTTTTATAATGTTTTTAATATTTTATAATCATTTTTTATATCTTAAAATTATTATAATAATTCAAAATTTTAACCATATTATCCTTACGTCTTTGATAATGAAATTTGAACTTCTAAATTGTTGGTATGTCGCCCTCTTGACAAACAAAAAGATTCATCTTCAACCCTCTCTAAAAAATGTATATTTTGATTGTTTAGTTTTTGTTGTTGTTGATTATTATCATGTTGTCGATGGAGGATATTTTAAATATTATCATTGATATTTTGATGTTTAAAAAGTACATATATGATATTTTGATATTTAAGAAGGGCATATATGATATTTTGATGTTTAAAAAGTACATATATGATATTTTGATATTTAAGAAGGACATATATGATATTTTGATGTTTAAAAAGGACATATATGATATTTTGATATTTAAAAAGGGCATATATGATATTTTGATGTTTAAAAAGGACATATATGATATTTTAAAAATTTATGAAGGGTAAATATGATATTTATAAATTTTATGAAGGGTAAATATGATATTTAGAAATTAAGTTGGGTAAATATGATATTTTGATGTTTAAGAATAGCATATATGAAATTCTCCCTAGATTTAGCGATGATTAAGTTGTTACTTGCTCTTATTTTTTATTTTATTTTGGGTGGGTTGGACACGTGTAAAACGTTCTATTTTGATAAAGAAAAAACATTATTTTGCAGTACATGTTTTTAACGTTTAGTTTAAACGAAATATTCAAAATCTAAAAGTTATCTCACCGTTTAACAAAACGTTACCAACTACCAACTAGTTTTACTGAACATCTCTTTTAAAACATTATATTTAGGGTGTGTTTGTAAAACTAACTCTATCTGGTAGCTATTAGCTATTAGATGAGAACTAAATCTTTTAATTGTTTATTTTTTATTTTTTAAAGGTGTAAACTTGAATAAACCAAAAGCTAAAATCTCCAAAAACCTAAACTCTAAAAAATTACTTGAAATACCTTTTAAATTTTTTTTTTGTTTAAAATAAAATTAAAAACTCTTACCGCCAAACAAAGCTTTTTATTTTATCTGGTTTTTTCTTAAAAACTAAAAACTTTCAAAAATATAAAAAGTTATGTCCCAAATATGCCTTTCGTGTCTAATGGCTAGTTACGGTGTTTCTAAAATATAAAACCGTATTGAAGTTTTAAGTAACGAATATATATATATATATATATATATATATATATATATATATATATAGATATATATATATATATATATATATATATATATATATATATATATTCGTTACTTAAAACTTCAATACGGTTTTATATTTTAGAAACACCGTAACTAGCCATTAGACACGAAAGGCATATTTGGGACATAACTTTTTATATTTTAGAAACACCGTAACTAGCCATTAGACACGAAAGGCATATATATATATATATATATATATATATATTGAAATAATAACAATTAATTGTTCATGGACGGACAAATTAATTTGAGAAAAATTTCGTATATTCATTTTTAAACATCAAAATATTATATTTATTTAGCCTAATATCCAAATATCATATTTATCATCCTTAACGCTTTAAAATATCGGATTTGACTAAATTTATTTTATTAACATTTTATATTCCTTTTTCATAATTTAAAATCATTAAAAAAAATATATGGTCCATTTTGCCCTTGCCTTCTAAATTACTTCATCTTCAACATTCGACACCTGTTTTACACTTATGCTTTCTTTCTTATTTTACTCTCGTCGTAATGTCATTTATATTGCTCTTGTTTTTATTTTGATTTTGTGCTTCTTCAAAATAAGAATAATGAAGAGATTTTGATTTTGATTTTGTTTTTCCTCATAAGTAAAAAAAGGATTAAATACCTATCAATCACGGTACATGTTTTGTCCGTGGCAACGAATAGATAATCGAGTGTTTCATAAATATTATTGTGAGTGTGCAAGTCAAAGTTTGTGATACATCTTATTCAAATTGATAAGCACTATTTCAAGCACGTGCAGGCTCCTTAAGCAATAACCAGAAAGATAAAGAAGTTGTAATATGAAACTATCTGATTCTATTATGCCATAAGGCTTAAGTACGAGTTCAAACGGAGAGAGAAAACATAGTTCAATACTTATAAAAAAAATTAAATATTCATCTACTACTATTTAAAAATAAACATTATCTCAACCCATCACATAATCCTCTTGCCAGCTTGGTTTAGTTGTTATCCTCCGTGATCGTCTCCTAACCTGAGCTCGTGTAAGGTGTAAGATTCTCTCTTCCTTTAGAAATCACCTTGTCCTCAAGGTGGTAGTTCAGATAGGCAAGCTGGAAGTCATCAGCCCATTCTCATGTTGCCTCTACATGTGAACCTTCCGTCCATTGCACCAACAACTGTCGCGCCATCTGTCCATTTCGCAACACAACTCGAGACCCACAAACCGCTAGTGGCTGTTCAAGGGGCTGACCCTCCTCCGGTAAAGGTGAAACCACCACGCCTTCATCACCTGTAAATGGTTTAAGAATGGAGATATGAAAAACGGGATGTATCTTGCTTGTTTCCGGCAGCGCGGGCCGATACGCCACCTTGCCAATCCACTCGAGAACTTCAAATGGCCCATAATAACATTTGGACGACTTATTAAAAAAGCATTTGGCGAGTGAAACCTGTCGACACGATTGTAGTTTAACCAACTCCTTTTCATAGGTTGAAATTCGACTTCATGCCGCTTCTGGTTAGCTTTCATCATATGAGAACATCCCGTTCCACCAATAGTTCATCCGCATCAGGTGTATTGTTTTTCGGGGATATCCGTGGACTGTTGACTTAGTGTGGTAGAGTTTGGTTCCTGGCATCAGGTGGGGTGAGACAGATGGTTTTTGGAAGAGGCACATAAGTCAAAATTTTATATCCATCCGGGAGCCACGAAGATGTACAGAGATTTGAGGTTAAGATATTGGTGGCCCTGTATGAAAAGGGATATAACTTGGTTTGTCGAGCGATGTCTGACTTGTAGGAAAGTCAAGGTTGAGCATCAGAGACCCCACAACAAGATGCAACATTTACCCATTCCCATGTGGAAGTGGGAGGAGATCACTATGGACTTCATCATAAAATTGTCGAGGACGACACATGGTGTTGATTCTATCTGGGTCATCATGGACAGATTGATCAAGAGTGCGCATTTCATTCCGATTGCCGAGAGCATATCCGCAGAGAAGCTAGCTGATATTTATGTCCGGGATGTGGTAGTTCGGTAAGGGGTGCCAGTTTCGGTGGTCTCAGACCGGGACTTTCGTTTCATCTCCAGGTTTTGGAGGAAGTTTCATGAGGATTTGGGTACTTAGTTGCACTTTAGTACAACATACCACCCTCAGACCGATTGCCAGAGCGAGCGGACGATCCAAACGCTCGAGGATATGCTTCGGGCTTGTATGTTGGATTTTGGAGGGAGTTGGGATACTTACCTTCCACTGGTCGAGTTCTCCTAAAGCAACAGTTATCATGCCAGTATTAATCGACCACCATTTGAGATGTTGTATGGAAGGAGGTGCACGACCCCGGTTTGTTAGGGCGAGGTTGGTCATCGGGTCATGGGAAACACCGAGGTGGTACTTAAGACCACATAGTTGATTCAGCGGGTGCACAATAGATTACGGGTCGCACAGAGCCCACATAAGAGTTATGCTGATCGACGACGTTCGGACCTCGAGTTTCAGGTAGGGGACTTAGTGTTGCAGAAGGTGTCACCTTGGAAAGGCATCATCCGGTTTCGGAAGTGGGGCAAGTTAGGCCCCCAGTTTATTGGTCCTTTCAGGATTATTGCCCGGGTAGGAAGGGTTGCATACCGGCTGGATTTGCCTGATGAGCCTAGTCATATCCATAACACTTTCCATGTGTCTCAGTTGCGGAAGTGTGTAGAGGCCGATTACGATTCTCGACAAGGAAAACTAAGACTCTATGTAATAAGGTGGTGAATCTGGTGAAGCTGCAATAGCAGCACCGAAAGGGCTCTGAGTGGATATTGGGGGTTAGAAATGGCATCGACTAAGTCCTCGCACGATGACCTGGAGTGCCGCAATCGAATGCCTGGTCGTGGAGGGATGAATCCGCTATATGGGTAAGGTTGCGCCCTTTCTAACACCAATTGTTTTTAGATCAACCGGTAGAGCTGATGCTCAACAAGTGGTATCAGAGCCAGTGGCGAGGGTTCGATTCTCTCAGGGAGCAATTTTTAAGGGGGGATTGTTGGGGGTCAGAAATGGCATCGATCAAGTCCTCGCACGATGGCCTGGAGTGCCGCAATCGAATGTCTGGTCCTGGAGGGCCGAATGCGCTATATGGGTAATGTTTCACCATTTCTAACACCAATTGGTTTTAGATCAACCGGTAGCGCTGATGCTTAACAGTGGACGTGGGAGCCGGAGGGCGAGATGAGGGAGCACTACCCAGACTTGTTTGCACCTGCGGATTTCGAGGACGAAGTCTAATTCATGTGGGGGAGAGTTGTAACATCCGATTCCA